GCATGTTTGAGTCCAGTGAACTGGTGGACCTGTGATCAGACCCAGAGTGAGAGTTAGAAAAAAAAAAAAAAGACTCTATTTGACTCAATCACACATTCACACCCATACCTGGTAGTCTCTTTTTCACTAACAAATGTTGGCATGGCAGCGAGAGGACTGCAGAGGTTTTTACGGATGTAGATCTTTTCGATGGAGGGTGCACAGTTTGCTGGCTTCTCTCTCGACACCTCCACCGGTTTCCTCTCACACTGAACAGCTGTTGGAGGAATTTCATGAGTCTACTGGTTTTCATGAGACTCACCGGCGCATGCGCAGCACTGACCTCATCATACGTCATCCTCCCGGAGCTGCTTCCGTGTACAACAGTGAGCTCAAGCTACATTAAAGTGATTATTACGTTTTGAATATGGATATTTTTCTTACAAAAACGCATCGATTCGCTACAGAAGGCCTTTGTTCACCCCCGGAGCCGTGTGAGACACTTTTTTTTTATGGATGGGCGCTTTTTATTTAACTGCTTTTAAACTGATGCATGCAACACCTGCTGAGTGCCATAAAACAGCTTGAAAGATCAAAGACAATTTTTTATATAACTCTGACTGGATTCGTCTGAAAGAAGAAAGTCATATACACCTAGGATTACTTGAGGGTGAGTAATTTATGGGCTAATTTTCATTTTTGGGTGAACTAACCCTTTAAGTCTGATCGCTTAGAAAAATGACAGCACACCCCTCCTCAAAATGCCACGTGATTTGAGTCATCAGTCATGAATCTGATTTGGACTCACAGTCTTGTTTCATGCCGAGGGCCATGCAGCGCTGCAGTCTGCAGTACTGACTTCTAAGAGAGAACTACAATTATAGTAAGTCTTACCAAAAAAAAAAGAACCAAAAAGTAATGTGGCGGTACCATGGTACAGTGATACATAAGAAAAACAACACCACTGTGCTTTGATTGTATTGAATAATGTTTTTGTACCGTAGAATTTATATGGTTTTACTTCACACTGGAGACTCAACTTGCCATTGATTTCAATAGAGTTTGACATTAGCATGTTGCTAAGCTAACAGCGAAAGACTCTAATAAGCCTAAAAGACAAATAGCACACACACATGCGGAGTAAAACATTCCATTTAAATTACACCAAACTGTTTTAAAAAAACGAAATTAAATGTCTTTTTATAATTCAAATTTCTCTTGCTTCATCTGCCATACTGGATTTTTTTTCATGGAACCACAACACAAGTAAAGGCTTTAGTTTTAATGTGCACATTTAGTTTGTGTGTACAGCTGAACGCATAGTCTTTGAACATATACTCCATTTGATAGTGTGCGTGAACACAGGTGGTCGACATGTGCAGAAGAACCTTTCATCTTGGTCCAGTGTCTGCGCTATTTCTCTATAGAAGTTATGACCGATAAAAATGTATTTGTACACTTTTAAATGAAAGTTGTAGTTGTCTATTGTTGTTGCAGTCTCCAGTAGTGGTAGTACTGTTCTGTTTATTTTTTGACTGAGAAACAATGGGCCAGTGTCGCCAACTTGTGGACCAACTAATTCAAGATGCATACATGAGCTGAGCGTAAACAGTATATGCATTTAGAAAAATCAGGCTGCATGTGTACAGTTGCTGATGACGAAATTTATGGTACACACTCACTGAATGCAAAGCGTAGCGTAAACACAAAAACACAAAGTGTACTTTGGGCTTAAATGAGTGGTGCCTGTTTACCTGGATTTGTTGTCCTGTCAGCTCAGGTGATGCAAAAAGCAGTTGATTGACAGCTGACCCATCGGCAGAAGTCAAGATGACCTTGGCTGGTGAGTTCTCCTGTTTGATGAACAGTTTCTCATGGTTGGGGTAATCCAGGTTAGCTAATATAAACTGCTGCTTGCCGGCTCCAGCCTGATCAATGGCTGTGACTATCTGCACCTTCTGAGCCAACTGCTGCTCCGTCACAATCTGATACAACACATGACAACAAAGAACCTAATGGCATTTACAATAATAAAGTTATTAAATGTCTGTTTGCACCAACACAAGCGATGTCATGAAAATTCGGTCTGATTTTCATATACCATTTGTCTGTTCAGATCAATACACACACACACATACACACACAAAACGACTGAAAAGCTGAATGAAAATGCAAATTCACTCTCTCACAGTAGGTGGGACTTATGGAAAAAAAGCAGAAACACAGAGGTACACAGTGGTGCACAGCTTTCCGGTTCTGACACCCACTTGTCACAGAAAAGTAATCGCAAATCTTATTGGTTGGCCAGATTTTTCGCAGTGTTATGGAAAAGATATTAAAACACCCCTCTGTAAAAACAAATGTTGTACTGTTGAAATGCAAAAGTTCACCCGAATAGAAGCATTAACATCCATTCATTAAAATTAAAATGTTTATCGCACCAAATTTTCTCAGCACAAACATTTAGTCTAAGTCACCTGCAGGCCTCCATCTGCAGACACCAGCTGAATTCTGGGACTTTCTCCTTCCATGATACCCTTCTGTCAGAACCAAGGCTCAGCAACGCCCCATCAGTCACACGCCCACCTGAGAAAAATAACACACAGCTCAGAGACTCTCGAAGATCCACACCAAACATTTGCAATAAGACCTTGTATAAGTCAGGGGGAAACTAAATATTTCCAAATAATATTTCACACATATCTATATTCATGTCAAATCTTTATACGTGCTAATATATACCTGAACATTTTAGAATGGGGGTCCCTTACACAAGGATGATCATATTTTGGGGCCTGTGCAATCTAACAAATTGAAAACCCCTGACACAAGTGAACAACATTTTTGGTGTCCTGTTTTTTTGAGTGGTATTATCACGTGCAAAATTTGCTGCCAAGATGCTAGGGTGCTGTGGGTGATTGCCGAGGCATTGCTATGTAGTTTTTTAAGCACATTTCTGGAGATGTGCTGACCCAAGTCTCCATGATATTCTGGTCTCTAGATGTGGCTGAAGTCCTTTCTTTAAAGTCTGAGATTTTTCACCCGTTTTATTGTCCGCCAGGCAAACATCTCAAGTTTGATCTCTTAGAAAATTCCTGAGCATAACTTTTCTGGGATGCATTACATGCCCAAGTTCAATATTTAGGTTCAGGGGTTTGTTAAAATAATTATGCAAAGAAGGTCTGCCTCAAATCCTGGCGTGTTTCAACTTTTTCATTATCAGTCAAATGATTCATGACTTTGCAGTTCTTGTCATTCCATCATCTTTATCGCCTTAACCAATTATTGAAATCAGGACTCTTTATTATGAATGATACAGGGTCTATATGTTCAACACAATATTCTGTTTTAGTGTTGTCATTCACTTCAGACTGATAAAAGATATAGTGAAATCTCACTGGCATCTGATTAGCAGTAGCTACATTAGCACGCTAGCCAGCGTCGCGTATTGGTTTTAGTGTTTTGCAAAGAACTAAATGACTTGATGAGTAAATGCGATCTAGCGTGAATGACAGCTGGGGGTCAGTAACTCGTGTGGAATGTGTGGGTGTTGATCCGGGAAGATAAAAGTCAGATCTGTTCCTGTAGGTTAAAGGTCATGATTGAAGGGTTAAAGCTCCCCACGCATAACGTTACACAGAGGGATTCTGCACTGCAGCAGCTCTTCACACGTGGAGTACAGGATAAATCTCGTATCTTAAAAAATTGTGATAACTAAATTACAAGTTAACATGTCCGAATGATCGTTTTTGTGTTATTTTGCGAGCGGTATTCGGTGTTTATCAGCGCAATGATATCAGATTAGCCCACTGATAGCGTTAGCCTGCTAAATAACGTCATCTCTGCATCCGATTTGTTTTAATGTCCATTAGATGCTTTGTTATATTTATTGTTCTTAAATAACCAAAAAAAGCTCTTACGGTTAGTTTAGTCGCAGACATTCGCCTGTACTGATCGATATTTTCTATTTTGCTAGCGGCTAATACGCTAACGCGTGTTAGCAAGCCGGCTATCAACAGTGCTAATATTCTCCTGAATTATTTATCCTAAACAATTACTGCAAGCACAGTGGGCTTTAACAATATAGAATATAGTTATTCTTACCCTGAACGCGTGAGAAATTATCCAAATACTGTGATGTTTTGATAAATTTTCGTAAACTGACGGCTCACTGCAGCTACAGGAGGTCAGAGTTCGCGACCCGCTCAAAGCAGACCCGCACGTCTGCGCATGCGCAAATGCACTCGTGAGACAGCATTGCTTTTAGTGAAGTTTGAGTGCTGCTAGTGGATTAACGACGTTAGCCAGTATGATTAACTAGAATTCCTTTTCTTTTATAGGACTGCTCTAGGAAGCCACAATGATACATTAAAGAATTGGATGCATGTTTGGCAATAACCGTCCCAGTTCAGCTGATTGTTAAGATTTCTTGCTTTGACTAATGTTAATAAGCACAACTTTTGATTAACATTAACTAAGATTAATAAATGCTGTAGAATTATTGTTTATTCTTAGTTCACGTTAACTAAAGTTGTTAACCAATTAACCTTATTGTAAAGTGTTACCGATTTCTTTCATATTAGCTGTAAAATCTACAGTGCCACCATATCTGGTAATGGATAATGCAGTTTGCCATCAGCCGCTCCACTTTCTAGTTATTGGTACTGGCCAAGAACCCGTATCATTTGATCTAATTAACTGTATGGAATCAATAGGAATGTGAACTGTACTTTTAAGATTTATATTTAGCAAATATACCCCAAGTCATTATGAAACCAAGTTTAACCAGACTTACAGACATGTTATATTATTACATTACAAATATTTATTACAAATTATTTGCACTTTACATTTATGTCGGGGCATAGCCTACTCCCTTGAATTCCTCAAGATATTAACAAATTGATGTAAAACCTTCTGGAGATGCACAGAACTTTGGGATACAACAGTGAACTAGTGCCAAAATTGACAAGAATCATCAGAAATAGCAATTATATTTTTCTTAAAAGTAAAAAAACAAAACAAAACAAAAAACTGGTGTATCTAATGTTTCCCAAAAATGCAAAAAAATCGTACAAAATGTAAGCCAACATTCAACACACAAATGTGATCAATATCGAACGTATTACTGCAAAACAAATAATATTCATTTCTTGAACTTGTTACACTTCAAACAGTGAAAGATCTGTGGCTGGAGCTGACAAAGGACCTTAGTGAAAACTGTAGAGAATATAATCAGGTCATAAGTGTTAAGAGATGTGGTCCTGAACAAGGTGCTGCATTAAGAGTATTTAATGTGTGTTATATCTTTCCCTGATAAGAGCACTAGTTTTTCTCTCTGTATTCACAGCCGGTGTGCTATAATGTCTTGTATAGTAAGTTAAAACAGTGCTGAGTTAGCCAGCCTGGCACTGTGTCTTTACTACCCATAATTCATTGAGGCCATTAAACAGCCTGAACTATTTTAAATACACCTGCATTATATTACCATTTACAAAATATGTACACTTCCAGTTCTGTCCAGTATAAGGTTTAAAACAACAGTCAAAACACCTACTTTGTACAAAAGAGTTTCTCCATAATGACGACCTGAACACACACAATGACCAACAGTACAGAAGCATCTATTTACAAAAGTAACACAATTAATCAAATTCTGTTTGAGGTCTACAATTATTTAAAACACGACTGTCTGTGTGTGTGTGTGTGTGTGTGTGTGTGTGTGTGTCATGTACCTGAGGCCTTGTCTCCACAAACTACACAATACTCCACTGGAGGCTTTGTAGAGCCCTGTTCTGAGCCCTCCGTCACAAACTGAAAAACAAAACATTCTAATCTAAATATGAACAATGATATAGAGTATTTTTCTCTCTGTATTCACAGCCGGTGTGCTATAATGTCTTGTATAGTAAGTTAAAACAGTGCTGAGTTAGCCAGCCTGGCACTGTGTCTTTACTACCCATAATTCATTGAGGCCATTAAACAGCCTGAACTATTTTAAATACACCTGCATTATATTACCATTTACAAAATATGTACACTTCCAGTTCTGTCCAGTATAAGGTTTAAAACAACAGTCAAAACACCTACTTTGTACAAAAGAGTTTTAAAAAATGTTTAAGATTATTAAAACATTTTTTGCAACAGTAACAGACTAAAAACCAAATAAAAAGGGCATTTTTTTCAGGAAATTAAAGCAGAAAAAAAAAAAACTAAATTGTTCATAAAACCATTCTTCCACAAATTGTCGCGTATATAATGAATGAATTGTTCGTAAAAATAACACGCTTACATGAACTGTTGAATGCAATGCAAACAGTTCATGTAAGCATGAAAAAAATTCTTATGGAAATGCTCACATTATATATATATATATATAAACATTTAGGTCAGTCTTTCATAATAAAAAAGTATGCATTTTTTTACATTCAATATGTGAATCATTTTTCAAATTGTTTTTGCGTAAATCATGCAGGTAACGCATGAACTGTTCATAAACTGTCGCAATCACTAAAATTTTCGTAAAAAAAAAAAACTTTTTGCGTTAATGGTCACATTCAATGCATCAATCATTCGTAAAACCATACAGCAACTTTCACCATCAATGTCCAAAACAATGGTTTTATGCATTGTACAATTTATACATAAAGTCACTCTGTGCGTCACGATTAAGGCCCAGTAACTTTTCCCAGCTTTCACAGTTGAATCCAAAATCTCCCATAATGCACCATGCCAGACTGCGCCACATGACCGTGCCAAAGGTGCGACCTGGCATCAGACATCCCTTTGTCATACTTGCTCATGCACATTCAGACCTGACTATGAATAACACCCCTGACCAAATCTTTTTAAATCTTCTTCTGGCAACAAGTGATACTGCGATTAGATTCAGACTGTCCCTATAACATCATAATGGAGTGTTAAGAAAAGTGGGCAGGATTAATTCGGATTAATTCAGATTGAAATATGATTCATAGGCAAGCCTAATGGTCAGGAGTCAATGAAAACGTCTGTATCTAGTGCTCATGACCAGTCATTGTCTGACTTTTTTGACCTTGAATGCGTTGTGGGCTGGATTCATGGTAATGTTAAGCACCAAAAGCAACTGGACCAGAGAGGCAGTGTTTCCTAAAAATTACATTGGATTAATACCTCACATTTCTGAAGTACAATGGAGGCAGACTGATTAAACAGCCACTCATTGAACCCTCATTAGGGTGCTTAAGATAGATTAATGCATAAACTACATCTACCTTTGCTTCAAACTGGGTTTTGATTTATGCATCCTCAAACTCACTGCCTGTGTACACAGTGCAGAGACCCAGATGAATGACATTTATTCATTCGGTTTAATCCAGTCAAAGGATCATGGCCTCTTGAAACGCCTCAATCCATCTGAAAAAAGCAGCACAGATTTAGTTTGAAGCAATGAATCATAGATTAGATTAATAGAACAAACTATACAACTCAGTATACAACAAAATGCTTGTGTACCTCTGAGCAGTGGGAATGTCCTCTGCTCTGAAGATGTAGTAGAATGTGTTTTTATGGTACAGTTTAAACTGCAGCTTTTGAGCCGGTCCTGTCTTCTCCTCTCGGAGGAAAAAGCCCAGCAGCGGCTGACTCTCCAAAGCTGCAACATCCTGAAAACCATGCAATCGTCATCACATGACAGCTTTTTTGACGTCACACACATCTGAAACGCAGTGTAGGGGAACAACTGACTAAAATAGTGACGCTACTAACGCAATTAAAGATTTCAGTATTGCAAAAATGGCTGTTTTCATAATAATAGTTTTTCTGATAACAAGCAACTTTTTCCAACAAAAATAATCCTGTCGCTTTACAAAAAGAAAATCATTCAAAGGTCATCTCAAAACTGTCCAAGCTTGATTGTGTTTTAGGAAAGGAATGTGAAATGCTTAGTCATTTATCGTGATGTTGGTTTCTTGTACAGTAACATAGTTTTGCTGCTAACCATGAGAAGATTCTAGGTTTGCGCACATCGATTAGGATCCTTTTAGTTTTACTATGAAGTGTGACTTTACATGTTCAAATTGGATGCTGAAATCTTGATTATTTGTGTATGATTTTTGGCATTTTAGCATGACAAAGCGTTACATTGTTTATTTTTGTCACATTGTAAAACCGTTCTTAAGTAATTGTTGTAAAATCAAAATCATAACATAAAATAGCCAAATCTGAGTGTAGCAGCGTTGAGCATTTTGATTCATTTTAGTAAATCGCTAAAATGAGACAGAGACTGAACAAAAGTCCCTATGTGGAATTGTACATCTTTGTTTTTGTAGTGATATACTGACAATTGGCAACATTTAAAAGGTACAACATGTAAGATTTTCGTAATAAAATATCCAAAAACTACTTGCACAGTGTTATATATTTTATGCAGTTGTGTATTTATGTTATGTTGTAAATCCAGAGAAATTCCAGAGTGTTGCGCCATGATTTTTTAATGCGTTTTTACAGTGTTGCGCATTATAACCAATCACACACGAGTCTGTTGAGTTTATGAACGCAGCGGCCAATCAGAGGCGTTCAGATGAGTTTTTGTTCAGTGCACGGCGCTCGCTGACTGGATTCAGCTCTCACACTAATTCTCTCATCAAAAACAACAACATTTTATTATTATTGATATTACTGTTGCCGTCATCACAAGGTATTATTAGCATCACCATCTTTAGTATTATTATTATTATGCATGCTAGTACTACTTGAATACTACTACTATTATTGTCAGATGGTCATCACTGTTTATTTTCATTGCTGTTATTATCATTGCTGTTCTATTGCTGTTTTGTGTTCACCGTATGTTGTATGTTTTGCACTCTTAATAAAAAGGGGAGTTTTTTTGAGAGTGCTTAAACTCGCGCTAGACTTAAGTCAGTCATAATGTTCTTTGACAGTGTAAATGTTCTTTGCTTGCATTCTCTGTATAATTTATTCGCTGTTTGAATAACTATGGAAGGTACAGGTAATAAAAAATGAATTCATTACCTCATCCGTGAACATCCTCCTCCATAGCGTCTTCAAACTTCGCCTTTGTTATTGTTTTGAAAATGCGACCTCGTGGCGAAAACGTACATATTGTACCTTTAACTGAATGTTTACCGCTTGAAGTCTTTTTTGTTCATTTTATTAGTGCATGTATATTTCTTGTGCAGATACTACTTTCATTGTAAAAAATTATATAATCTAATAATGGTTATATAATTAAAAAC